AAGGACCTTGCTTTGCGACCAGTTTATGGTGTCTATTATGCCAGCACAGGAATGGGAGGAAACTGAACCCCCTGGGCGAGGCAAATGCACTCAAGGGTGCCTGACTGGTGGGCCAGTGGCGAAATGGATAACGCGTTTGACTACGAATCAGAAGATTCCAGGTTCGACTCCTGTCTGGCTCGCTCTGCCTCTTTTGCTTCGCTGTCAGCCCATAGCCATTTTATTATTTCCTTTTATTAGCCCATATTTTTTGTTATTATTATTATTGGATTAGTTGAATAATATTTTAAATTGACAGTCCAACAATAGGCTGCTTTGTCAGTGGGATAACGGTTACCATACAATACCATGCTCTTTTCAGATGCATTGCATGGGTACTGTCTTTTGTTATTATTATTATTGGATTAGTTGAATAATATTTTAAATTGACAGTCCAACAATAGGCTGCTTTGTCAGTGGGATAACGGTTACCATCGCGTGCATAGTTTTTGTTATTATTATTATTGGATTAGTTGAATAATATTTTAAATTGACAGTCCAACAATAGGCTGCTTTGTCAGTGGGATAACGGTTACCATACAATACCATGCGTCTTTTCAGATGCATTGCATGGGTACTGTAACAAGGACCTTGCTTTGCGACCAGTTTATAGTGTCTATTATGCCAGCACAGGAATGGGAGGAAACTGAACCCCCTGGGCGAGGCAAATGCACTCAAGGGTGCTTGACTGGTGGGCCAGTGGCGCAATGGATAACGCGTCTGACTACGAATTAGAAGATTCCAGGTTCGACTCTTGGCTGGCTCGCTCTGCCTCTTTTGCTTCGCTGTCAGCCCATAGCCATTTTATTATTTCCTTTTATTAGCCCATAGTTTTTGTTATTATTATTATTGGATTAGTTGAATAATATTTTAAATTGACAGTCCAACAATAGGCTGCTTTGTCAGTGGGATAACGGTTACCATACGAGCTTACGAAACCTAATAGGTTTAGGTTCTGTCCCCAACCGGTGTGCCTATGATAGCTCAGCTGGTAGAGCGGAGGATTGTAGGAGGTAAATTGGCAATCCTTAGGTCGCTGGTTCGACTCCGGCTCGAAGGAGGTCTTTTTCACAAGCAAACATTTCATTGGCCATGCTTCTCGACGAGGCCGTCAGCGCTTGAGTTGGTAGTCCAGCATTTTGCAATCGCGACCGCCGCTGGAGGGCAGAAGCTCATTCCCTGACCGGGAATCGAACCCAGGCCGCGGTGGTGAGAGCGCCGAATCCTAACCACTAGACCATAAGGGAAGGTCTGCTGACTCTTTCCCGTCAAGCCTGGCTGTGTGCCTCTACCAGATTTTGCAGCAACTGCTCAAGCAAGACCACTAAGGCTTGAATTTCCCTTCAGGAGAGGAGACTTCTCTGACCCTGGATCACAGTTATTCCACTGAGAAACTGTCACAGGCTCTGTAGGAATATCCTAACAGCACCACAACTTGCCATGAAAACAAAGCAACCAAGATCCCCAACATGTGACGCCTCCAACTTGAACCTTTTTATAGCAGGCTCCTCATCAGACCCCTTCCTGACGTTGGCTCCAGGCCTGTTGATGGCATGAGATAAAGTAGATGTCATGACAGGCCTCTGCCCAGTCAGACACCAACAAGTCGCGTGCATAGTTTTTGTTATTATTATTATTGGATTAGTTGAATAATATTTTAAATTGACAGTCCAACAATAGGCTGCTTTGTCAGTGGGATAACGGTTACCATACAATACCATGCGTCTTTTCAGATGCATTGCATGGGTACTGTCACAAGGACCTTGCTTTGCGACCAGTTTATAGTGTCTATTATGCCAGCACAGGAATGGGAGGAAACTGAACCCCCTGGGCGAGGCAAATGAGAGCTCCCTCCGATGAGCCTGACGAAATTGAATTCAGTAAACAATCCCTTCGGATCATTCCCATATTCTTAAAGGGGGGCGGTCACACACTTGTAAAGTATTTGGGCCATTGGGGAATATGTATTCAATATTTAGTAATTACAAATTAATAACTATTGATACGGGTTTGACCCAGATAACAATACATGTTAAAAATCACCCGGCAAAGGGGGTTACGTTGCCAATCTGTTATGAACGACTGAATACAATGGATTTATAATCAATTATTCATACAGATCGGCAAGATAGATCAATTTTATTTATCAATAATCAAATCATAACGAATTATAATTCAATATTCATATACAAATTGTCTAGAATACATAGATTCTCAGGATACTCCTCAATGGAATTAATTAGTATCGAATATTCTGTTTGTCCAGCAAACTGGTCATGGATCTTCATCAATTTCCACAGAGAAATTACCTTTAAGAGACTCGCAGGAAAAGACGATCTTTACGGCCGTAAAAGATAGCTTTCCTGTTTTGTCACAATACTATTTAAAGTATTATACCATTTCAAAGCTTGTAGCTGATCGAAACATTTAAGTGATTTGAAGTATGAGCACAGGCAGAATCAATCAATGAATATATGTATTTAATAAAGATGATTACGTATACGGTTAATAAACGTTACAAGGAATAAATGTATTTACAAACACAATAAAACATCGAGGAAGGAGAATGCATATAGAAAGAGAGGGAGAGAGCTGGTGAGTTTGGCAAAATTCATCAGACACAGAACCGTTATGAGAGACAACTTAGAGTCAAATCGTACCCTAATTAGGGCAGGCAATCTTAGCAATATTTAGATCTCGGTAAGAAACGAATACTTGCTGATCATGTTCTCTCGTGTGTGTGTGCGTGTGTTCCGGACCCGGTCAGAGGTCCTTTCCGGCGCGCCCGTGTGGCGGGATGTTCAAATCGTCCGTTGAAGGTGTTGCCAAAGAAATGATTCAAACTAAGTTCATTTCACTCGCCGGTGAGAATGAACAAAGGAGAATACAAAAAGGAAAATAAAACTGAACTAGACAAACAAAGGAAAGATGGGTCATCGCATGAACACGAGGTCCCGATGGACCAAGGAGTCACATGATGAAGGAAGGGAGAGTCCAGAGTACGAGCGAGCGAGAGAGTCAAGCGCGCGTCACATGTTGGAGGAAGAGCAGTCCAGGGTACCAGCCAGAGAGGGAAGACAGGGGTACCGGCCAGAGAGGGAAGACAGAGCACAGGAAGAGCGAGTCCAGTTCTCTTTAAAGGAACTGGAGTCCACACCTCTGAGGTGCGAACTGGCCAATGACATTCAACGAAACTCTTGGCGGCAAAATTCTCTTTGTCTTGTCAAAGCTAAATTATGGCCGCATTCACAGGTTTTACGATCAGTCAGAATTTGTTCAGAATCATTTCAAAGATGGTAAAACATAGTAAAATACATTTTATGGCTTGTTCAATTACATAAATGACCTTGTCAGCTCACAAGGATTCTGAACATAGGAAGAAAGACATTTAAGGAGAGTTATATTGCAAAGTTACATTAAAAGCATAATTAACTGCCCTTTTAGTTTGTTTTAAACTAACACACACTCATAGGTCCCTTCATAGGACCTGGGCAATCGACAAACATAACAACATATCAAATATACCTCAGTAAATGTCTTTAAATGAGGAGAGTAGTAAAAGTTCATATATGTGTGTGTGTTTGTATCTGCGTGCATTGAGCACCCAACAGGGGGGGGGTTCTCTGGAATTCCTTTGAAGCTTGGACTACGTGAGTGGGAGAATGCAGGGTTAGTCTCTGGCGAGTGTTCCAGGGTCGTAAAAGTGTTATGAGCAGACTTGTTGGCACCAAAGTCCAGTAATTTTCATTAATCCTAAAAACTTTGGGTTTTAGGAAGAATGTGCTTTATTTGCATTCAGGACAGAGTCAATGATTTACCCCAGATACCTTACACACTAAAAGCCAAAGGGCCTGCTCGAGGCTTGAGGAAGTTCCCATATGGTCTAGCGGTCAGGATTCCTGGTTTTCACCCAGGCGGCCCGGGTTCGACTCCCGGTATGGGAAGTTCGTGTTGTCTTTGCTTCACTTATGGAAACAGCCAGGACGTCTCTCTGTGCCACTAGCACTTTTGGCCGGCAGGCGGAGCTTACGAAACCTGATAGGTTTAGGTTCTGTCCCCAACTGGTGTGCCTTCGATAGCTCAGCTGGTAGAGTGGAGGACTGTAGGTGGCAAATTGGCAATCCTTAGGTCGCTGGTTCGACTCCGGCTCGAAGGAGGTCTTTTTCACAAGCAAACATTTCATTGGCCATGCTTCTCGACGAGGCCGTCAGCGCTTGAGTTGGTAGTCCAGCATTTTGCAATCCCGACCGCCGCTGGAGGGCAAAAGCTCATTCCCTGACCGGGAAACGAACCCAAGCCGCGGCGGTGAGAGCGCCGAATCCTAACCACTAGACCACCAGGGAAGGTCTGCTGACTCTTTCCCGTCAAGCCTGGCTGTGTGCCTCTACCAGATTTTGCAGCAACTGCTCAAGCAAGACCACTAAGGCTTGAATTTTCCTTCAGGAGAGGAGACTTCTCTGACCCTGGATCACAGTTATTCCACTGAGAAACTGTCACAGGCTCTGTAGGAATATCCTAACAGCACCACAACTTGCCATGAAAACAAAGCAACCAAGATCCCCAACATGTGACGCCTCCAACTTGAAGCTTTTTATAGCAGGCTCCTCATCAGACCCCTTCCTGACGTTGGCTCCAGGCCTGTTGATGGCATGAGATAAAGTAGATGTCTTGACAGGCCTCTGCCCAGTCGGACACCAACAAGTCGCGTGCATAGTTTTTGTTATTATTATTATTGGATTAGTTGAATAATATTTTAAATTGACAGTCCAACAATAGGCTGCTTTGTCAGTGGGATAACGGTTACCATACAATACCATGCGTCTTTTCAGATGCATTGCATGGGTACTGTAACAAGGACCTTGCTTTACGACCAGTTTATGGTGTCTATAATGCCAGCACAGGAATGGGAGGAAACTGAACCCCCTGGGCGAGGCAAATGCACTCAAGGGTGCCTGACTGGTGGGCCAGTGGCGAAATGGATAACGCGTTTGACTATGAATCAGAAGATTCCAGGTTCGACTCCTGTCTGGCTCGCTCTGCCTCTTTTGCTTCGCTGTCAGCCCATAGCCATTTTATTATTTCCTTTTATTAGCCCATATTTTTTGTTATTATTATTATTGGATTAGTTGAATAATATTTTAAATTGACAGTCCAACAATAGGCTGCTTTGTCAGTGGGATAACGGTTACCATACAATACCATGCTCTTTTCAGATGCATTGCATGGGTACTGTCTTTTGTTATTATTATTATTGGATTAGTTGAATAATATTTTAAATTGACAGTCCAACAATAGGCTGCTTTGTCAGTGGGATAACGGTTACCATACAATTCCATGCGTCTTTTCAGATGCATTGCATGGGTACTGTAACAAGGACCTTGCTTTGCGACCAGTTTATAGTGTCTATTATGCCAGCACAGGAATGGGAGGAAAGATTCCAGGTTCAGAAGATTCCAGGTTCGACTCTTGGCTGGCTCGCTCTGCCTCTTTTGCTTCGCTGTCAGCCCATAGCCATTTTATTATTTCCTTTTATTAGCCCATAGTTTTTGTTATTATTATTATTGGATTAGTTGAATAATATTTTAAATTGACAGTACAACAATACGCTGCTTTGTCAGTGGGATAACGGTTACCATACGAGCTTACGAAACCTGATAGGTTTAGGTTCACACCCCAACCGGTGTGCCTTCGATAGCGGTGCCCGGGGACCGTTCGTCTGTCTAATTTCGACAAATCACGTCTCTGCATGTCCATCTTTTCCATTTTTATGACAGCCAATCAGATCTCAGCATTTCCATTTTCTACATTTTAAGACAGCCAATCACCGTGGCCCGTCCATCTTTACAATTTTAAGACAGCCAATGACCGTGGCCCTTTCCATCATTGCCGGAGCATGCGCAGTAAGTCTACCTCCTATCGCTCACAGCCAATCAATAATATTTGTGAGTTATTTTTGGAAAAGCTGCGTGAAGTCTGTATTTGAATTTAGCGACTTGGGAATTTAATCCACCGAGGTAAGTTTCCTCTATTTAATTAACTAGCTTTAATTCATATGTTTTTTTTTTTAAATAAACTTTTACATTGTTTTAGGTAAGACGTTGACGGTGACACCGAGGTAAGATTTCTCTATTTAATTAACGTTAACTATCTTTAATTAATAGTTTTTTCTTAAATAAACTGTTACATTGTGTTAGGTAAGACGTCAACGTTGTTGCTTTGTTTAGTCTGCTAACGTTAACTAACTTAGCTAAGAATGAATGAATGAATGAATGGAGTAACGTTAAGTTAGCTGAAACGTATTTTCGACAGAGAGAAACGACAGTTATAATTGGTATAACATTGGTATAACACCCACAATGATTTAATTTGAATGAATGAATGAGTTTTGTGTTGTATTCAGGTGTTGCACCTGTTATAACAGGAGACTTTGTGTTTACCAACTGATAATAATCATAATATGATTGTACTAAATTACTTTTATATCTGCTACTACTATGTATTAATATAGTATACACTGAGGTACTTGTGTATTAATAAATTATACACTGCGGTACTATGTATTAATAAATTATACACTGAGGTAACGTTACTATGTATTTAATATATAATACACTGGTACTATGTATTAATATATAATACACTGAGGTACTATAGCAGTGAGTTAAAACTACTCACGAATAGTTACAAATTTAAAGTGAATAGTTACAATTTTATTTACTCTAGTAATGGAAGATGGCATCCAAATACAAAAAGCACAGGGCTATGAGTGAAGAGGAGTGGATGTCACGCCTGCGAAGGTTTGCTGTTGTAGGGGTCTGGCCTTCTGAGGCAGGAAACAGGCCGGCACCCCGCCAGAAAAAGTGGAATGACCTGTATCAGTTGCACTTCCGACTCTTCTGCCATGTCCAGCACTGTCACAAGTGCCATGACAAGGAGGACACCATCGCCTGCCTGCAGTCCCAGGATGTTCATTCAGAGTGTCTCTCCTCTGTCTCTTCCTCCCTCTCCTGTGTCCACAACCACATCTTCGATACCATCGGTAGCTGCTAGAGCTGTGAGAAACTCTTAAATTAAGTGGTTTTCTTCACAATGACACTTAACTTCAAATAATCATCCTTCATTATTTGCCTTTTTTATTTATAAAGGAAGTGTCCGCTGCTGCCGCCTCCTCCTCTGGTACCTCCTCTGCTCCTCTTGCCACTGCACCCTCTGGTCCATCACCTGCCACCACCAGCTCAGCCGTCATTCCAACTCCCACCTCTCTCCAGGCCACTGATGGACCTGCTGGACCTTCAGGGCCTGCATCTGTTGCACTTGAGCAACGACTGGTAATTATGCCTGTCACATTTTATTTTTATCATACCGTGTACTGATCATTTAGTAGACTTTTATTGTATTGCAATATTTATTATTATTGTTGTGTAATAATAATAATCATTATTATAATAATAATTAGAAAATGTATTTGTAAATCACTTTTAAAAAACGTTTTCAAATCACAAAAAATACACAATGCAATCATGAAATAGACAGAGATTTAAGACAATGAATAGAAATCTGAAGAATACGTAAATGAATAAAAGCATAATGCTCTAATTAAAATCCATTTTTATAATAATGTGTTTTAAAAAGAGTATTCAATTTTCCAGATTGTGCATGCTTGTACCGGCTCTGCTGCTGCTAGTCCCTCCTCTTCACTGCCATCACCCGTCACCCCTGCAGCCCCACAACAACTGGCAAGTCTTTTGTAACATGTTGTATCAGTCGTGTTATTGTCTTGCTTATAATTGAATTATTTTGATATTTGTTTAATTATTTTTTATTTTATTTATTATTATTACATTTAACAGGTTTCAAATGAGGACACCACTCTGTCCCCACCAGCCTAGCCTCTGCTCCTCCTTACTTCCCCATCGTCCCAGCCTCTCTTCCCACTGCTACAACTACAAGTCCCTCTGGGACACCTGCCATGACTCCAGCAGCACCACAGCAAGAGCTGGTAGGTCTTTTGTGACATGTTAACAGTGTGAAAGATGTGCTATTTTTCTGCCTGTGATATTGTTGTTATTTTATTTTTATATATTCATATATTTACCAGGCTGTGGATGAGCGCAGTATCCCAGGGATGGACAGAGTGGACAGCCTGGCAGAGTACTTGGTGGGACTGAGGAATGAAACTGGACAAACACTTAACTCCCAGCAGGCCAGTACCATCATAGCTCTGTGGCAGAACCTTCTACCGTATGACCAGCAGCGTGTAGCGTACCCTCCACGGTACAAGTCGCGCCTGACAACAGGACGCTTCAGTTGCTCTAAAAAGAAACCTGAATTTACGCCAGGTGTGGAGAGTATGACACGTTGCGTCCTAGGATCGACAGGATCCCCTGCCCACTGGCCAGACTGTTGTCGTCTGGTAGAGTGCATTTTTGTAAAACTCTGTGACATCTTTAAATGTCCAAAAACAGGGTACATATGCACTGACTAGATGGACTCTAATTCTCAGAGACTATAGCAAGATCAGACAGCAAGTCCTGGGTAATGGTGCAGTCATGCAGAGCTCTACACTCTAATTCAATGGCACAACAAGCGACTGAAGAGGCAGGAATGTAGTATTCTGCTGCAAGGGGTCAACTTGCCTGCCTCCATTCCTGTTGCTCCCGTACCTCTCCCACCAGTACAGGTACGCCCCACTGCTGCACCACCACAGCCTGCCCCTCCACAGCCTGCCCCTCAACATCAGTACCACTTGCCTCAAAGTACAGCAGGACAAGTCTATTCAGTTCAATTTTAATCCCACATAACACACTGTATATTACAGTTTTTTGTGTGAGCCTTGTAAGGAGTGTTGATTTTGTTTTTTGTATATTTTTTACCAGTTGATCAGAATCTTCTACCTTTATTGCTTGCTTTATTTATTTATTTATTTAATATTTGTATTTTATATTTAATTATTCAATTCATTTGTATATGTGCCATGCTTACTGTGTGTGTGAGAGAGAAAGAGATAATTAAGATGTATATTTTGTAATATATTTTTTATATATTTAAACAGCAAGGCCTTTATTTATTGCCAACATTCACTCAGAGAAGACAATTACATTGTTGCAGTACTTTCAATTCTAATGTCTTTCATGTTTAAATTTGATTGTATTAATGAATTGGGTATTTTTTCTCAAGCAAATATGTAAAATACATACATACAAACAACACATATGAATATAGTTATAACTTTTTATACATTTAAGTCGAAACATATGGTAATATTTCAGTTAGGGTTTTTGGTTAGAGATATTTCTATCTTTGTGTGTTTACTGCAATTATAATTTATCATCAGACATTTTTATCGTGTGTATATATATATATATATATATATATATATATATATATATATATATATATATATATATATATATATATATATATATATATGTGTCTTTTTAATTTTTTTTATTATAAAAGTGTCTCTTTCATTAATCATTTTGTGAGCCTGAGTCAAAACATTATTATAATAATTACTATTATTATTATTATTATAGGCCTATATATTATTATTATTATAGACCTATATATCTAATGTTTATAGTACATTTCAAGGAACTCCATATTCATATGGGTAATAAATAAATATAAACATGTATCCATACAATGAGAAAAACAGTAATAAAATAAACATATGAAACCATTTGAAATTCCAGTGAAATATCACTATAATATAGAAAAGAGTAATTTAAAAAAAGATAATAAAGATTTCTTATATTCAATGGTGAACTAATAAAATAAATAATACATTTCAAGAAACCACATATTCATATAATAAATACATTTTAACAATTATCCATACATGTAAAAAAAATACGTTTTTATAAAATAAGTGTTAAGGCATAAAAGCACATTAAATTTATACATATGTGTTCATTCATTAAGAAAAGATATTGGGTGATTTCAACCTTGTCCGAGGTGGGACTCGAACCGACGTCGTACACGTCAGTGATTTGCCCATGAAATATATAAAAAGGCAATTTTCTATCAAATAT